TGCGTGATGCCGGTGGTCTGGGGCGTGTTTTGCGAGCGCCTTGCGTGCTGTGCACCCGGGTGCGGGGTGTCCTTCTGGGAGGTCGGCCTTTCGACCCGCAACCAAATGGAGGACCACCGGAAGACGAAAGGAGCAAGAGTAGCGTGCGGAAGCTGTGATCAGCGAGGCATCACTGCGAACGATGTGGCAGATGAGCCGAAACGGGTGAAGAGGCTGTTGACGTTAGCAGCGCGCACGAAACAGTTCGCGCGGCAGCAGCACATTAGCGCCGAGCAAGATAGCGAGCACGTCGCGAGGAAGAGTAAGGCTGTATGCGCGGAGTGCATTGCACTTGGCTTGACGGCTCGCAATTCTAGAGGCCCTCTTGGGGCGCATCTTGGATGCCTCTTGGGGCCTCTTGGGGGCATCTTGGGCCGTCTGGGGGCCAACTTCGGTGTCTTTGATCGCTCTTGGACCGTCTGGGACCATATTGAGCTCTCTTGGAGGCCACTTGGAGCGCTCCTGGAGCGCTCTTTGGGCCGTCATCGGGGCCCTCGTGGGCCGTCTTGGACGCCTGTTCGGCCGTTTTGGGGCCCTCTTGGGCTATCTTGGGACCCTCTTGGAGGCTTCTTGGACCGTCTTGGGGCGGTCTTGGGGGCCTCTTGGGCCGCCTGGGAGCATCGGAAAGCCCAGAAGGCGAATTTGTGAAAAATGTACGTTTGATGGAGGGAATGGGCAAATTTTTGCGTCTAGGGACCCTCTTGGGACGCATGAGGCCTCTTGGGGCCTCGTGGGGACCTTTTGGGCCGTCTAGGAGGCCTCTTAGCCCGTCTTTGGGCCATGGGCGTCTTGGAGCGCTCGTTTGGCGTCTCGGGGCCCTCGTGGGCCGTCTTGGAGGTCTCTTGGGGCCTTCTTGGACCGTCGCGTGGGCCCGTTTTTCCGGCTTTTGGCACGTTTTTGGGACCTTCTGCTCCCCCATGGCGCGTTCGGTCCTGGGTGCCCCGGAGCCATGACGCGTTCGGTCCTGGGTGCCCCGGGGCCGGGGGGGGGGTCGAATCTCCGGTTTAGGGTCCCTGGGGGGGGTTATGGGGGGGGGAATTATTTCACACGCCTAGAGACCCACAAGGGGTCGGCGGATTTTCGCTTGCTTCTCTCCGTCGGTCCGTTTCGGCCCGCCTTGGCTTTCGGTCGTGGCTTTCGTCCGCCGCCCCGCGTCGGTCCTGCCTGGTTCTCGGCTCTGGTTTCGCGCTCGCGCTGTCTCGGTTCCGTCGGTCGCCTCTTCGCCTTCGGTCTGCTCGGGCTCCCCTTGCCCCTCCGTCGTAGCCTTCGCCGCCAGTCTCTCGGCCGCTGCCGCCGCCACCGCGTTCGTCGTTCCGCCACGCGGCGCCGCGCGCTTGCGGGCGCGGTTGCGCGTCGTCTGTCGGGTGGCGCCACGCTCGAGCGCAGCAGCGGCGTGTGGCGCAGGCGCGCTCGAGCAGCGCCGCGCCGCTCGCTGCGCGCCGCGCCTAACGTCGGGGCGTGGCAGCGCCCGACAAGCAGGATGGCGCAGTGAGCGCCCGGATGGCACCAGATAGGGGTCCCCAGGGCATTTGTGCGGTTTTGTTCTCATGTCAGCGCGCCCCTCTTAGGTGATCGTGCCATACAGGTAGCTCCACCTACAGGCGTAATGGGGGGGGTGTTCAATTTGCGGTTCTGCGCCCAATTGTTTCGACACGCCCTTCGCACGTGATCGTGCCTCACAGGGCGTTCCACCCACAGGCTCAAAGGGGGGGCGTTTCTTTTGCAGTTCTGTGCAGCTCGCGGGATCGTGCCCCGTGGTGAGCAGCTCCATTGCGCGGGCACAAATGGGGGCGTTCTTTTTGGCGTCCGTTTCGGCGCACCCCTCCCACGTTACGTGCCGCACGGGGAGCTCCACCAGGGAACCTCGTCTCCGGGCGCGGGAGCTTTCCTGCAGCACTTCCTCGCCCACTTCGTCACAGCTTTCACACGTGCATCGTCTCCCACAGGGAGCTCGCTTCTGCGCGCCGGTCGCCGCGGCCCTTTCTCCGCACGGCCCGGGATTCCATCCTTCTCGCGTCTCGCAGTGTGCGGGGGGAAAGTGCCACGCCCCGCGCTGCACGCAGCTGCACAGGGCTGGGCCCTTTTCCAAACTTATTGTTCAACCGTTTGCGGAGTTGTGCTCGTTTGGCTGCTTCGCTGCAGGTGACGCGTGGCGGAGGCGGATGCGGAGGATGAGGAGGCGGAGGCGGCGGCGTCGGCGGAGGAGGAGGAGGAATAGGAGAAGGTGGAGGAGGAGGATGAGGAGGAGGAGGAGGAGGAGGAGGAGTAGGAGGAGGAGTAGGAGGAGGAGGAGGATAGGAGGAGGAGGGAGGAGGGAGGAGGAGGAGGAAGGAGGAGGAGGAGAGGAGGAGGAGGAGGAGGAACAGGAGGAGGGAGATAAACAGGATGAGGAGGAGGAGGATGAGGAGGAGGTGGAGGAGGAGGAGGAGGAGGAGGAGGAGGAGAGGAGGAGGAGGAGGAGGAGGAGGAGGGAGGAGGAGGAGGCAGGAGGAGGAGGGGGGATATAAACCAACGGGGGAGGGGAGGAGGAGGAGGAGGAGGAGGCGGAGGAGGAGGAGGAGGAGGAGGAGGAGGAGGAGGAGGAGGAGGAGCAGGAGCAGGAGGAGCAGGAGCAGGAGGAGGAGGAGCAGGAGCAGGAGCAGGAGAAGGAGGAGGAGGAGGCGGAGGAGGAGGAGGAGGAGGAGGAAAAGGAGGAGGAGGAGGAGGAGGAGGAGGAGGAGGGTGGAGGAGGAGGAGGAGGAGGCGGAAGAGAAGCAGGAGGGATGAGTAAGCCTGTCCCCTCAGCATCCTCAAGCATCTCCTTGCCTCCGCTCGTTTGTAGCGTCTCCTCCGACCTCCCCCCTCCTCCCCCCCCCGTCCGCCCTCGAAGACCGCGCGTGGACCGGCCTCCGACCGAAGAGCCTGGAATGCTGCAACTTTGCGCAGTGTTCTCGGCATCCCGGGGGCCCTCCAGAAAACGCCTTTGGGGGTGCGCCCGCTCGCCCTCGCTCTCCTCTGCCCGCTCCTGCCTCCTGCGCGTGCCGCCGCCGGTCGCCGTCGTCCCGCCCGCGTGCCCTTGCCTCCGGTATGACAGAAAGCGCAATCGCGAGCTGCAGTGGCAGCGATGCTCGGCATCGAGAACACACACGAGACGATCATCGTTATCGCACTTGAGTTATTTCTGTTATTTTCACACTTGAGCCGAGCATCGTTGCCACAGCAGCTCGTCGTTGCACATGATTTGCAAGAGTTTTTTCTACGAGCCTCCTTCGCGCGCTGGCCGCGCTCGCCATCGTCGACAGGTGACCCCTGGCCATCTCAGGCCGGACGGGGCTAGGACGAGGAGAAATCCGTTGCAGAGCGTTCCAGAGCGCTCTCAGGGAGTGTCGGAACGCTCGGAGAAGGCCGCGGCGCCCGAGACATCCTCCAGAGCCGCCGGATCTCAGAGATTCTTTCTCTATCCTCACCCGATTTTATCCTCGTCCTGGCTTCGTCTTATTAAGGGCGGGCAACGTCAGGAGGAATCGGCACAGGGGGGAAAGCACTGACCCCCCAATCGTCCGTGGATCGCCCGCACGGGCTCGACAGCCCACCCTGCCCAGGAACGTGCGGTCTCGCTGCCGGGGGCCCGTCGTATCGCCGATCCATCGGCGATGCATCGCCGATTCCAGGTCGACGTCTCCCCCCCGGAGCGCGTCCCCCCCCCGCCTCCCCGAACGTTCCTCCTCAGCGTGGGTGCCGGGGCCCCCGAAACCAGGACACTGCAAGGAGGGCCATGAAACCTCCTGCTGGAGAGGAGGGAGGTCGGAGGACATCTCGTCCCACGGCGGCAGTTGTCTCGGGCGAGCCAGTGTCGTGGCTCAGCAAGGGGGTCGGGGCTGGGGGTAGGGCAGGCCTTGGCGGAGGGTGCATCGCTCCAGAGCTTCCGGGAGAGCTCTCGGAGCGTTCCAGAGCGCGCCTCCGGGGGGGGTGCCAAGGCCAGTCCCAACCCAGGGTGTCCCCAGTTTCTTGCGCCATCTCTATCTTTGCTGACGGCCACGTGATGGGGGGGCGACAAGGGGGGGGCCAGCGAGGTCTGCCGACAAGGGGCACTTTAGGGCCCCAAAGGGGCCTGTAGGGCCCGAAAAGGGCCTCTCATTGCCCCCCTCAGTTATCGCCTCCCCATCAATTCGCTCCCAGCTTGGAGCCGCTGGGCCACCCCCTTGTCGTCCCCCTCGCCCTCGGCTTGCTCGCCATACGCCCACTGCTTGCAGCGCTGTCGCCCCCTCTTGGGGGTTGCGCGCCTCCTCCTCCTCCTCCTCCTCCTCCTCCTCCTCCTCCTCCTCCTCCTCCTCTACCTCCACCTCCACCTCCTCCTCCTCCTCCTCCTCCTCCTCCTCCTCCTCCTCCTCCTCCTCTACCTCCACCTCCTCCTCCTCCTCCTACTCCTCCTCCTCATCCTCCTCCACCTCCTCCTCCTATTCCTATTATTCCTCCTCCTCTTCCTCTCTCCTCCTCCTCCCCCTCCCCATCTCCCCCCCTCCTCCTCCTCCTCCCCTCCTCCTCCTCCTCTCCTCCTCTTCCTCCTCCTCCTCTCCTCCTCCGCCTCCGCCTCCGCGTCTCCTCCTCCTCCTCCTCCTCCTCCTCCTCCTCCCCCTCCTCCTCCTCTACCTCCCCTCCTCCTCCTCCTCCTCCTCATCCTCCTCCTGTATTCGTCCTCCTCGTCCTCCTCCTCCTCCTCCTCCTCCTCCTCCTCCTCCTCCTCCTCCTACTCCTCCCCCCGCCCCCTCCCCCTCCCCCTTCTCCTCCTCCTCCTCCTCCTCCTCCTTCTCCTCCACCTCCTCCTCCTCGTCCTCGTTCTTTTCCTCCTCCTCCTCCTCGTCGTCGTCGTCGTCCTCCTTCTCCTACTCCTCCTCCTCCTCCTCCTTTCCTCCTCCTCCTCCTCCTCCACCTCTTCCCCCCCCGCGCCACCTCCGCTCGTCGCGTGCCCCCGCGCGCCAGAGGCCCCGCTGCCCGAGCTTCGACGAGGGCCCTGCGCCGGTGCCCAGCCTCGGCGCGGCGACGGGGGAAGCAGGAGCGGAGAGGGGCGCGCCGGAGCTCCCGTCCCTCGTCGGGGGCGGCAAGGATGGGGATTGAGGAGGAGGAGGAGGGGAGGAGGAGGAGGAGGAGGAGGAGGAGGAGGAGGAGGAGGAGGAGGAGGAGAGAAGGAGGAGGAGGAGGAGGAGGAGGAGGAGGAGGAGGAGGAGGAGGAGGAGGAGGAGAGGAGGAGGCGAGGCGGAGGAGGAGGAGGAGGAGGAGGAGGAGGAGGAGGAGGAGGAGGAGGAGGAGGTAGAGGAGGAGGAGTGGAGGAGGAGGAGAGGGGAAGGGGGGAGGGGAGGGGGGAAGGGGAGGGGGAGGGTGAGGCGGAGGAGGGAGGAGGAGGAGGAGGAGAGGAGGAGGAGGAGGAGGAGGAGGAGGAGGAGGAGGAGGAGGAGGAGGAGGAAGAGGAGGAGGATTCTGCTGGATTCTGCTGCCTTGCCACACACGTGGCCTGAACCCCTCAGTCACTGTCACCGCTGTCCACTAGCACCGCACTATCAGCCTGCTGCTGCTGCTGCTGCTGCTCCTCCCTGCTGCGCTCCTCCGCTCGAACCCTGGGCCGTCCGCCTGCGCTCGAGCTCGCCTTCGCTCGGAGGCGCTCGACCGTCTCTCTCAGGGCAGCGGTCGCAGCAGCAGAGGGGCCAGCAGGCGGCGGCGGCATCGGGTCCTGCAAGGTCATCGCGTCGGCCATTGCGCTCGGATGGCAGTCGGCCGACGTGCGCAGACACTCGCACTCAGGAGCACTGAGCAGAGGCGCCATTGGCCTCACCGACTCGCACGCTCTCGCAGTTCCTTCCTCCGAGGGCACGGGGCCAGCTCTGCTCGCAGCATCACACGCCTGGGCGGCACGCACACTCTTGGGCGGGCCTAGGTGCGACGGAAACAAGCCACGGCGAATTCGCACCAAATTCTCCCCCCCTTTCTTGGTCGGGGGGGCACACTCAAACTGAAGCCTCCTGCCGTCAGAGGTGGCAGTGAAGCCGCAGTACATACAAAAAAATGAATTGAACGCCTTCATCTTTGCCAGCGAGTGTGACGGATGGAGAACGATTCCGCCCACAGAAATCTCGCCCTGAACAGCCTCGAAGCCCTCTCCATACTCAGGGGGGAGGACACGTTCATCGGCCGCGCCCAGCCCACTGGCGACAGGGAGAGGGACGCACGGGGTCGAGGCGGCCTTCGGCACTCTACACCGAGGGAGGGTGAGGTGGCAGAGTCGGCATCTCCAACGGCCAGCAAAGGGGACAAACTTATACTGGCTGGCCTCTACAGCAAGACAACAATTACTCTTGCGCGGAGGTTTCTTGACACACGGTGGCCGCACGCCAACCCAGGGTTCAACCTCCAGCGCCAGCATCAAGGCCCGACGGGCCCGAAGCCTGACTAACGCCGCCGTCGTATCCCAGAGGTCCGTCTGGGGGGCAGGGGTCGTCACACACCAGTCCCAACTCCAGGCAGCAGCAAATCCAGCCCAGGTATCGGCGGCGGCGTTGCCAAGACTCATGAAAAGTTCGAATTCAGTCTTGACCGTCTGTAAGTCTTCCTCCCTGTGCGAAGGGGTCCAGAGCAGAGAAACATCCCCGGGGCCACGGGCCTCGAGGTCCCGTCCAGCACGAACCCAGAGGTCGCCGTTTTGGCCCCGAGGAAACTTGGCACGTCCGGCATGCCAATCAGAAACCAAGCTCTTACAGTCGGTCACGTAGCAAATGGGACCGACCGAGCACTAGAGAGCTAGACAGAAAGCCTGAAGCTCTGCACGCGGCACCGTCTGCTTCCTACCCACGAGCACCTGGGCAACTCCACAAACGGGGCTCCAGAAAGGCGAACAGGGATCCTGGCACATGACTACAATGGCCGAGCCGCATCGACGCCGCCTGGGATCCGAACTGTTCTCGCCTCCAGAGCCGTCTCCATAGATGTACAGGGGAGGAGCACCAGGGGCAACACCATGGTCCAAGACACTACCCACCCCAAGAAGGACCTTTTGGGCACTTCAAGGGTCTCAACGAACTTGGGCGCCACAAGGTCCTTCGGGGGGGCTCCACGGAGCCACGGCGCTGGCTGAGCGTCAAGGCCCGCAAGAGCTTGGGGCACTAAGAAATCCGTTTTGACAAAACCGTCATGCCCGCAATTCGCGGGGCATGTCCAAATCCGATGCGCTAAGGTCTCTGGCCCTTCTTTACAGCGGGGGCAAAGCGGCGGACAGGCATACATAATCTGCGGCAATCTGCCTCTCACGAGTCCACTGGCCGCCCCCGATGACGGCAATGTCCGCGGACCTCTCTTCGAACTGTAGCTTCTTGGCGAACCGATTCAGCTCGATGGTCACCGTGGTCATGTCAGCGCCGTTCACTAAGTCCTCTCCTGCCTCGTGCTGCGAGGCGGCCTGCCACTGCTGCATCAGACAATCATCCATGACGGCGCCCAGCATGTCATCAAAGTACGCCAATACTGCAGTGCCGAATTGCTCGTCGCCGAAACTCGGGAAGAGCCAATCATCAATCGTGCCATCAGGTAGCGGACGAGACCAGACCAGGGGGGACTGGGTCCCAGCCAGCTTGAAGCAGGGTCGCCTGCAGTGCAGCAATCGGTCCACGTACATCTTTCCAATTTATGGCTCTCCCTTGCTTGAGCTTCGCCAGCACCACAGGCCACGCTTTCTTGATCCTAGGGTGCAGGCGCGGCTGAGTCAGCCACAAGGATACCATTCGCGCAGCAGCTGCCGTCTCAAATCGATGCCTGGGTCAGCCGTACCATACACAGCCTGCAGCACAGAGTTGAGACACCTGCCCTTCTTTGGGCCCGCCACTGCAGCAGCCGCGTCACGTCGCATAGCCAAAAGAGTAGATGGAGGGGTGCCCATAATCTGATGGCCAAAGACTGCAGACGGGTAAACTCCAGTGTTCCACAACTTTTTAGTCACAAAGCGAACGCGGCCAAGACGCCGTACTTTCGTGACCTTCCGTTGTCTGCGTCGAGCCTGAGCACGCCTCTTGTTCATGCGAAGAGTGGCCCTTCTACGAGCAGCGGCAGCATCCGAGCCGAGGTCAACTGTGGCACTCACGTGCTCAACTGGAATACCTTTCTTCCTCAACCGCTTCTGCAGCTCACGACCAATGTCATCACTGCTGGCCACCAGCTTGGTCTTCGAAGAAATCTGCAAACGTAACTCGCCCAAGCCAGTAGCCATAACATCTGCCGTTGCCTCCAAATCAGCAATCACCTTCTGCTTGGAGCCCTCGGCACGGCCGACTGCGTCGTCGATGTAGCTCCACAGGCCAGCAGGGGGAACCGCACGGTGCACTGTCTCCAGAAGTCTGTGCAACATGACCTTGGCCAGCGGAACCCCGTGCCCTGACCCTGCAACTCTCGACCTGGTCACCTCGATCGTGTCAGAAATCATCTGGCCTTTCTTCAGTAGCCGAGGGGCCGAGTACAAGCATATCTCAAGCAACACAATAATCGGTGGAAGTCCAATATCCAAACCGGCCCTCATCAGCAACACGAAGCTCACAGAATCGTAAAACTTGGTCAAGTCCAAGAACAAAGTAGCGTGCTCGAAGGACAGCTCATGGGCGCCTTCGTCCAACACAGCACGTATCAGCGCCGCCCTCAAGGCTGAAGATCCCGCTATCGCAGTATCCCAAACGGCAGAGAGAGAGGCCGACCATTCACAGGTCGTCTGAGAGCGAATCTTGGACCAAACCTTGTGGGCCATAGGAACCAGTCCCAGCACACGACAGCCGCCGGCCTCTTTCGGGATGGCAGCCCCCAGCACAGTGCTGATCGCCGAAGGCCAGGCGCCCGCCGCCTCGACAGCGTTCAGGGTGTCCACGAAGAGTTGACGAGCGCGTGCTGGTTGTCGCTGGATGTCCAACGGGCTCATCGCATCAACTCCTTTCGCCTTCTTCGCAGGTAACCTGGGCAGAACAGAATCCAGATCCAACAAGGTAATGGCAGGAAGCGGGTCAGCGCGCGCAGCATCCAAACACCTCTGCATCATATCCAGAATGTGCTGCGGCTGGTCCACTGGATCGGTCCACATAGTCGTCCACTCCGCTGCCAGACCTTGCAACATCTCTTGGCTGTCAGAAGTGACGGTGCCCAAGGGGTCCTTACTTTCCCAAACAGGGGCCGCAGCAGGCTTGACGTGCCTGTGAACAGCCCTTGGTTTTGTGGCCCACATCTCCTGGGCCCATTTCATGAACTGGGACCTGGAGGCCATCATGGCCCGAGCATTTGAGAGGTCGGCCCACCTGCGAGTTCTCTCCTGTAGCTCTGGTAAAGACTGAAGAGGTACCAGGTCCAGGTTCGCGACCATACCCTTCCAGGCGAAAATCTCTTGGGGATCTTGCTTCTTGCCGAAATAGGTCGCGTCGTCCACACCGTCGAGCTGCTCGATCAACTTACGCGCGTGCTCAGCGCACTGGGCAGCTTGGTGGGGGTCAGACTCCTTGTTCCTGAGCGAAGCGTAACGAATGACCAGCGTGCACGTCTGTCCCCACCACTCGGCCTGCTCATTCCGCATGTGAGCACGTCCAGGTGTAGAGCGCACAAGCTTCCAGCAACAAGAAGGGCCACAAGCACGACCAGAATACATGTACCATTTGTCTGAGTCCACTTTCTCATGCAGCATCACCGCTCTCTCCATCACAGTAGTCCAATGCGCGTGCAGTTCATCCAGAGAAGTGCGAGCTGCCGCTTGCCAATCAAAAGTGTAATGATGAGCCCGATCAAAGGGGGCATGGCGGCCAGACACCCCAGAGGGCTCGTAACTGTGAAGTGCAGGAACTCCTTCCCAATATACCTGAGCCTCCGCCTCCTCCCAGATCTCCTCAGGGACATGAAAGGCCGCCTTCTCAACAGGCGGGTCTGCTGGAGGATGCGGCTCCTCGAATGCATCGTGGAACTCTGGCGGAAGCTCTTGGAGTCTGCGCTGCCTGGTCGCTTCCTTCTTCTTCGCCGTCTTGCTCTCAGGATCAGGAAGCGCACGAGGCCGCTCACAGGAAGGCAGCGGATGCGGCAGCACAAGATGTCGGTACCACCTTCGAGTGCGCGCCGCCTTCACACGAATATTGACTCCACAATGGGTCTTCCACGGCGCAGTCAAGTCAGAAGTCATCTCGACCTCAGGAAAGCCTCTTCCAATCAAACCGTAGTCATACATTCGTCCAGGGCCCTGGTCGCAGGTAGTGCGGCGCGACGGAGTGACGACCCTCGTGCCGAGGCGCTCTGGCCAACCGGTGGCAGCGAAAGGGGCGGGCTCGATGTTCCAGTTCGCCATGATCAGGTACGGATCCGCCAAGGAGCGCACAAAAGCCCCCAGCGCCACAGGCACGTCATTATTCCATCCTTTCACTCCCAAGCCTGGCTGGAGGTAGGCGGAGATCAGCACCGAGTTGCCTGCCTTGGTGTGCAGCACGATCGGCACGAAGCCGCGGCAGGGGTCCAGCCTGCCAGCATCCAGAGAAGCGCGGCGGGCACTCTCAAAGCTCGTCGCAGCAATATGCCTCTTCGTCGGGATCCACTCCCCGCCAGAGAGCCCACTCTCCGACTTGCGCGAAGGGCGAGCCGCAGTGTGGGCGAGCCTCCAGCCGTCCTTGTCCAAACCTGCGCAGATGTCAGGCATGTCGTCCTTGCCCTTGTGTGTCTCGCAGGAGGCCACAACGCTGCGCTCAGACTCCCTCGTCAGAAATCGCGCTGCCTGCGGCCCCCACCCCGTGATGTTGCCGAAGAGAATGGTAAGCGAGCCATCCTTGGAATCTGAGTGTGACGTCGCCCGTGGTCCGTCACACAGATGAGGTACACGCGGTGCATCGCCCCACCGCTGCGGGCTCTGCTGCGCAGGGCTAGGAACCAGCCGTCCCAGCAGTAGCAGCAGAAGCAGCGGGAGCGCCGCCGCCCTTGCCCAAGCCCTTGGCCTCCCCGGCCGGAGCCTCCGAGTTGGCGACGAACTTGGCCCGCATGTCCCTGCGCACCTCCTCCGAGACGGCAGCCGAGGAGCTGGGTCGCTGGCTGGGCGCAGTGGGCGCCGCTCCGCCTGACAGAGGCAGAGCCGTAGGCGGCCCGCCAGCGTCCCCTTCGCCACGGACAGCGCCACCGTCCTCGTCGCGGCGGCGCCGTTTGGTGGCTGCCTCACGGTGAGCATTCTTCGCCTGGTCGAGGAGCACCTGGAACTCCTTCTGCTTCGCCGTGGCCTGCTTCGATATGTCCTCCAGCTGCCTCTGGAAGGTCTCCAGCGCCGTCCTGTCCGACTCCTCCAGCTCATCCAGGAACTCGAACAAGGAAGGGCCCACGGCGAAGGTGATGCCCTCGGGCGCCTTGTCGGGAGTCTTGCCAGCACGCTCCTGGGCCTGCAGGCGCGCGCACTCAGCCTCGACCATGTCGTCCGCGGCCTTCTCAAAGGCCGCATTTGCCTTTTCCAGCAGCAGCTTGGCGTGCTCAACAGAACGGGCGGCCCTGTCCAAGGCCTCCTGCTTGCGCGAGCACTCAGCCGTGGCCTCCTTGAGAACAGAGTACGCTGGCTTCGGAGCCGAGGCGGGCTTCTTCGCCGCCGCCAAGTCCTTGAGCTGCGACGCGAGCCTGGCCGCCTCGGGATCCTTCCCCAAGCCAGCGGTCTCCATCGCCTTTGACATGTAGTCGTCCAGCGAGAGGGTGGCAGGAAGCTTGGGCCAGTCGGTCTGACTTCCCCACCACGGTGCATACCACGTGCCACTCGCCGTAGTCGTCCATCCTGGCTGCAGTGTGCCGCAGATGGCGCAGGCCCCTTTCTGACTCTTGAGGCGCCAGTTCCAGGCCCAGTTGCCACACGCCGCACACGTCGCAAACGCATTCTTTCCACCACCCATCTATGCTCCAGCAGGAGCTCACAAACCTCGCTCCAGCAGGAGCTCACAAAGTCACTGGAAGCTGCCGCGGACTAGCGGTATCCACGTGTTCCCAAGTGGAACAAGGCATCTTGAGCCAAAATGGCTACGGATGAGGAGGAGGAGGAGGAGGAGGAGGAGGAGGAGGAGGAGGAGGAGGAGGAGAAGAGGGGAGGGAGGAGGAGGAGGAGAGTAGGATGAAGAGGAGGTACAAGGAGGGGAGAGAGGGGAGAGGAGGAGGAGAGGAGAGGAAAAAGGAGGGAGTGATGGAGGGAGGAGGAGGAGGAGGGCTGAGATGAGGTTGCGGGGAGGAGGGGAGGAGGAAGGTACGAGAGGAAGGGGGGGGAGGGAGGAGGCGCAGGAGAGGAGTAGATGAGAGCGGTAATAGGAGGGGGAGAGTGAGGAGGTGGGGAGGGAGGGAGGGAGAGGGAGGATGGAGAGGAGGGGAGGAGGGCGGGAGAGTGATGAGGGAGGAGGAGGGATGAGTAGGGGAGGCAGGGAGAGGAGGCAGAGGTAGAAGGTGGAGGGGGTGTGGAGTGGAGGTGGAGGTGGAGGAGGAGGAGGAGGAGGAGGAGGAGGAGGAGGAGGAGGAGGAGGAGGAGGAGGAGGAGGGAGAGGAGGATGACGAGGAGGGCGAGAAGGACGAGGACGCGGATGAAGACGAGGACAAGGAGGTTCCCGAACCCTCTTTGGAGCCTCTCGGGGTCCCTTGGGGGCATCTTAGGAACATTTTGGAGAGCATTGATCACATGAGGAGGGGTTCTCGATGTCGCCCCCCCCTTTTTCCCCCCCCCCTCTCAGGAGCCCCCAGCATCGCATCTTGGAACCATCTTCGCGCTCTTTTGGGGTGTCATTGGGCCCACTTGGGGCCGTCTTGTCTTGGGGCTCTCTTGGGGCTCTCTTGGGAGCCCTGGAGCGCCTCTTTGGGCCATCTTCGAGGCCATCATCGATCGGAGGAGGGGGGTCCCGATCGAGCCCCCCCCTTTGGGGCCATCAAAACGCGCCCTTGGGGCGCTCTTGAGCGCTCTTGGGGCCGTCTTGGTGGCCTCTTGGGCCCCTCTTGCGGCCTTCTTGGGCCATCTTGGGGCCATCGAGGCCCGCCCAGAAGCGCGTCGGAAACGAAACGGCGAAAAGGCAAGCATCATCAAGCTCCCTTTTGAAAGAATTTGGACTCTTGGAGGGATCCTGAGGGGTTTCCGAACGCACCTGGAACCGTCTTGTGGTCATCTTGGGGCCTGTTGGAGGCATGCTGTTAGCTATCTTAAGTCATGTTTGGGCTACCTTGACGATCTTGGGGGCCATCTTGGGCTCCCTGAGGCCCTCCCTCTTGGGGCCATCTTGAGGCTATTCTTGACGCTGCAACCAATGATCGCGACGCGCCCCCACCGCGGCCCCCCCCCAATCGCGCCCGCGATCGGGGGCGCCTCGTCGCGGAATCATTCGGTCCGTCGCATCGCGCGCGCCGCCCCCCCCCGGTCGCGCGCGCGCCGGCGCGCGCGCGCCCCCCCCGCCGCCCCCCCCCCGCCCCACCCCCCCCCCCCCCCCATCCACTCCCCCCCCCTCCAATCCTTCCCCAGTCCCTCCTCTCCTCGTTTCCTCCCAGGGGGGGGGGTGGAGGGGGGGGGTAGGGGGAGGGGTCAAGACTCCCTCCACGCCCGCAAGCCGTCTCGCTCACTCCCACCCGCCCTCCCAACACATACGTCGCACCCGAGTCTGGCCGGAGCCTCAGCAGATTCAGCAGTCGTCTTTGGATGGGCGGCTACTGGGGGCCAATCCGCCGCCGCCGCCGCCGCCGCCGCCGCCGCCTCCGCCGCCGCCGCCGCCGCCGCCGCCCCCGCTGCCCCCCCCGCCCCCCCCCCGCTCTGCCAAAATCAATCGCGCGATCGCCTCCGCCGCAGCCGCTGGCCGCCGCAGCCGCTGCCGCCATGCCACCGCCACGGCCGGCCGCCGCCCGCCGCCCACCCGCCAGCCCCCGCCGCCGCCGCAGCCGCCGCCGCCGCCGCCGCAGCCGCAGCCCCCGCCGCCGCCGCCACCGCCGCTGCCGCTGCAGCCGCCGCAGCCGCCGCCGCCGCCGCAGCCGCCGCAGCCGCCGCCGCAGCCGCCGCCGCAGCCGCCAAGTGTATTCTGTATTGTTTTTTGAAAGGGATGGTGGGGGGAGGCCGCATCGGGTTGGCTGCGCATGCCCCGAATTTGGAGGCAGAGTGTGTTTTGTATGGTTTGTTACAAGGGATGGTGGGGGTGCCCTCATGGTTCTGGGTTGGCTACCAGTCGCCTGGGGGAGGGGGTGTTTGTTAATAGGGAGCACTGATTAATAGGGAACAGTGATAAACCCTTCCCCGAAGGGGAAGACGGTTGTTGGAAAAGGAAAAACGAACATCGTTAGACCACCTGCGCCCAGAGGGCTGGTGGGATTATTACCATGTGTGTTCCCAGAGGCTCAGCACGGCGTGCCCCCTTCAACCCACCATGCGTTGCATGCTTCACATTCGCCCGTCGTTTGTCATTCGTGAATGTCGACATCAACTGTTTTTATTTCGCCGACGCGGCCTTGTAATCGCACGAACAGTCTATACACAGGATGGAAGAGCTTCCACGGCTTCGGTGCCAGCACGTGTAGTTTCGCTGCTGTCACAGTGTGCACATGCTT